TCTGCTCCATCAGGCCACCTCCTCTTAGTCCATCTTCTGTCCTTTGGAACACCCTCTCCTCCTCCCAGCTCCAGGCCTGGGAACCTCAAACTCCACATTCCTCTCTTCTGTCAAATCCCAAGCTTCGGCAGTTTTTATTAACCAGTCAACTTTAAATTAGGTAGAGCAAGGTTTATACAACAAGGACAGGTATGAGAATGTGTTCATCTGGGCAGCAACCAGATCTTAAGGGCCAGTTATTATCATTAGAATACCTAGCACCAGACCAACCCCCAATAGGAGTGGAGCTGTTGCAGAACCTTTAAGCTGAGGGAACCCACTCTTTCAGTCTTCCAGCCAAGCAGGGTTAGCTCTTATACTTCTGAAACCTGGGAAATAGCGAGGTCCTGTACATGGCTTGAGGTATTGGTCCGCTCTATTCTAGAGTCTTATAGTTGTTGCTTGGTTTCTCCTACAGGATCCCCAGAAGTGGCAGTCTCTTAGTATGAGGGTTAGGAGGCACTTCTTTTTCTACCTCACATTTAAGAGTCTTAGGACTTTTAAATGCTGGGAAATTTAAAGACTTTGACAATGGACTGTATTTTACAATATGAGCTAGGCATGGGACTCAGGGGACCAAGAATGCAACGGTATAGCTTAACGCGATATCTGTGCTGCTAGGTGAAAAGGATGGAGTTGTGATGGCGACTTTCAGTTACCAGCTTGACGCAGTCTAGAATCCCCTGGAAAGAGAGCCTCAGTAAGGACTTGTATAGGTCATTTTGGTGTGTAGGCATGTCTGGGTCCAGGGGGAGGTTGTCTTGATTCCATTGATGTGGGAAGATCCAGTCCCCTCCTGGTACCACCATTCTCTGTGTGTCGCTCCTGGGTGTATAAGAATGGAGAATGTTAGCTGAGCGTTGGTACAGATACAGTCATCTGCGGCTGTTGACTGTGAATGTTGTGTGCCAACCATCTTAAGTTTCTGTTATCTTTAACTCTCTGGAATGTTTGACTGTGACCTAGAATTGTGAACTAAAATAAACCCTTTCTCTATCAAGTGGATTTTGTCAGGGTATTTTACCATAGTAACCAGAAACTAGGACTGAACGTGTAACTACATTTCCCCAAACATCTCAAAATCATCTCTAAGAAGTCAGTGAAACAGTACCACAGATTTTAAGATAAATCTTCTCATAGTTCCATAATTGTTTTTTTTTTTTTTTAATTTTCTTTCTTCTGCCAGTGTCAAGCCCCTCAACTTGGAAATCATGGATTCTTAAACAAATGTTATGGTCACACAGGAATGTATGCATAAGAAGACATAAAATTATACCTTTACACTGAGAGGTCTAATTTTTCAAAAGCCCGTGAGGCAGCCCCAGAAGGCCCCAATCTTTTTGAATAACCTGACTCTATCACACTTCATTTTCAACTTGACCTGACTAGCCCTGAGTTTGTTTTTCAGAATTCAGAAAACCACAGTTCTTGAGCAGACAATCAGCTTAAAGTTTATCACATGAGCTTGAGCCAAACACAATGACTCAGCAGCTTTGAGGGAAAGACCTTAGCAACCCTGGAAAGTCCCTAAGTGTTTGGCCAATCCTAAATCCCACCATACCAATTGAGTCACTACTGACCAATCAAATTAAAGGTTACCTCACCCACTTCTGGAAAATCCCCTAACTGCCTTTAAATTGAGCCTGTGTGCCATTTTGAAAAAGGTGGTGATCCCTACATGCTGGAATTTTCTGCAGAATATAAGTGCTCTGCTTTTGCATACCACTTGAGTCTTTCTGCGGTGATTCTCTGACCCTTACAATACCACACACAGAAAGTAGCTTAAAGATTATGCATGACAGAATTATGCATGAAAATCTTACACTACCTGGTGAAATCTTCATAACCTTGCTCTGAGAGTCTCTCCAGAGAGGTCACACTGCCCTGGTGCCTGTGTGGTAGGAGGAAGCACTGTGCCTACACTATTGGTGGTGAGTGCCAGAGCCCGCCAGCAGAGCTGAACAGTTCCTGAGAGGGGAGTGAGGATTTAAAAAAAATAAATAACATACTACACACAGGATCAGTTCCAGAGTGCTGTCAGAAAAACCTGCTGCTGCTTGGTTTATTCCACAATTCTTTTCTTCAGTCAGAGTGAAACAGCTCAGTACAAAGAAAGGGTCCTTCAAGAAGTCAAACTAGTTTACCTTGATCACCTCACTGTGTGATCCTCACACAAACAAAAGGAAGGAGCTTGGCAAAACATCCTGCTTATCTCTATCTGAAGGTGAAGTCCAGGGTAAAAACATGTTTTTCAATGAAAACTCAATAACAAAGCAGCCTGATACACAAGCAGCTCTTCACAGGCGAGCAGATTCAGAGTATCATGTTTTAGACCCAAGTCAAAGGGTTTGGTGACTACCATTTGTCAGAAGCAATTAATTATTAGACTCTCTCTCTCTCTCTTCCTTTGATTTTTTGAGACAGGGTTTCTCTGTGTAGCCTTGTCTGTCCTGGACTCCCTTTGTAGACCAGGCTGGCCTTGAACTCACAGAGCTCTTCCTGCCTCTGCCTCTCTGAGTGCTGAGATCACAGGCGTGCACCGCCATATCTGGCTGGAGTTTCTTTTGAGAACACACTGCATTCATTGTCTTTATGTCCTGACTCATTATTCAACACTAGGACCAAATCCAGCACCATCAGCCCTTCCTGTTCCTAGAAAAGCAGAAGCCTGGGTCATTGTCCCTGGAGTAACTGAATCCAACCCTTGACATTGGAAGTCAACAACTTTCAGAGGCTCTGATGCTCTTCATCTTCTGTCCAGATGTCTGTCTAAAGGCCAGGCTCAGAAATGAAGTCATCCTGTCTTAGAAATGTTGGTAGAAAGCACAGAAACTTTCTAATGAATATTTAACATGGTTAAAGTTTCCCATTTTGACAGGGACAGCAGCTGTGTTATTTTTTTCTGTAGTCCTCTAGTAGGGCAGAGTCCAAAGTCCAATGCCTGCCAGTTGAGACTTGTAAACTCTCAGATTTAATGGACTCAAAGCAAGTTAGGGTTGATTTGCGACCTAGCTTGTATTTTCCATCATAATGTGTCTTTTAGGGAGGGACCCACTTCTCTGTGACACTGGTGTTCTCCATCTTTTCTCAGTTTTGTAAAGATAAGTTATAATTTTGGAGACTATTCTAATTATATACTATAGGTCCCAAGTAAGTGAGATGGAGATTTATCAATAATTTTTAAGCACAATAACTGTGCAGATAACCATTTATACTTATCCTCTATACCGGTAGTGCTCTTTTTAAAAACTCTACTTTATTTGTTTAGGCCTCAACCTCCCTTCCAACATCCCAACCCTATGTAGGAGAGAGAGAAATTAGTTGGGGAGAGAGGGTCCCTTTACTTCTGGCTGTTTAGGGTTAAGGGGTTCTGTTGGTAAAATGTTCTTTTAAAATGTGTATGCCTTACCCTTGTTAACTGAAATGCTGATTTCCCCACCCCCAGCTCTCTGGTTTCAATCTGGATATTGCATTGTGATACTCACTATAAGCATCCTGTCTCAACTCTTGTGTAAACAGGACACAAATAAAGCAACTAGATACAATGTTGTGCAATGGGAGGAGCCAGAGGACAGGAAAGAGGGGAGGAGCTAGAGAACAGGAAGGGGTGAGAAGGAGGAGGAGCTCGAGGAGAGGAGAGCACGAGGAGAGGAGGAGAGCAGAGCGGGAGGAGAGAGCTTGGAGGACCTAAAGCATGAACCAGACCTAAGATTTCACAAAAAGCAAGTATAATGTGGGAAATCTAAATGTTAGGAAACTGAGGGCTTGGAGGTTTAGGAGGGAGTAAATATTGCCCAGCATTGTGTTCTAGGTTAACTAAAAACCCAGTCTCTGTGTGGATTTGGTTATACAGCCGCTGAGGATTAACAGCAGCATTACTAGAGGATAAACCCATAGTAAATATTAATAACTAAATACAACAGGGTTCCTTTAGGGCTATACCAATCCCTGTCCTGAAACAATTCTCTCCATCTGTCTGCTCTAAACCGCCACATTGTCCATCTCTCCAAACTGCAGCATGCCACACACCAACATTGCACTCCACACCTTCTCTTTCTTGGCTTTCAGTTTATATCTTCATCGTCCTAGACCATGCCCCACTCCTTGCCACACATGGAAGACTGTTACCAGATGACAGGAGTCACAACAATCATTAGACAAAATTGACAGGTGTGGACAAACTCTAGCCCAGCTAAAATTCCACACTTGGGATTAAAACAAAAACATATTTACAGAATATAACTGAGTTTACAAAAAACCCAAAACTTCCATTACATGTGCTAGTCTTTTATTTCCCAGCCATGTGCCCAGAATTACCTGTCATATTTAGTCCTGCCTGGGCTGTTTCTGCACCAGCAGGTCAGTGTTTCTCACCACATCTTTTCTCTACTTTTTTTTGTCTTCTCTCTCCCTCATGGTCCCTACCTTTTGGGGAACAGAATTTCTGCCTACCTATCTCCTCTGCCCAATTGGCTGTCCAATTAACCAATTGAAGAAAATTGGGAAGCAAAAATTACACAACATTGAGTAATGTATGTGACAATGCCTACATTCAGGTTGCAACCAGATCTCAGGGAAACATATAATATCTGAATACATAGTGTACCAGACCAACCCTCAACAGGGACCTGATTCCCTGTGACCTCTAGGATTCTCTACCTCTTTTTGGTGACTCTCACTTTTCATTCTTCTTAGCTTCTCTTCTTACGATGTATAACTGAGCATGTGATGGTCGTACAGGCTCCTTATAGGCAGCTTCTTAATTTTTCCGAATTGTCAAAATCCAAACACATTGTTCCATAACTGTCTCAAAACTGGTCTGCAATAGAAGTCATAATCTTTTCTGAGCAAAGATCACAAACCTTTTTTTTTTTAAAATCTGGAGAGCACAGATAGTTCAGCCAATGCATTTAATTATTGCTCTTATGTGTAAATCATTAACACTGAATTTAACGTCACTTGCAAACCAAGTGTCCACTGCAGTAGGTCTCATCCTCTGCTTTTCAGCCAGCTCTATTAGAAAAGAATAGAGTCAGAGCATCTGGATTGTGTGGGGCTGAGCTTCTCCCATGGCTCCTGCAAAGTGTCCAGCCTCCCTTCCTCTGTGTGTGTGTCTGTTGTTGGCCTCTGGCTTTGCCCAGGCAGGCAGGCTGCTGGTGGTGCCTGTGGATGGGAGCCACTGGTTCACCATGAAGATGGTTGTGGAGAAACTCATCAACAGAGGGCATGAGGTGGTGGCAGTTATACCAGAGGTGAGTTGGCAACTGGGACAATCTCTGAATTTTACAGTGAAGACATACTCAATTTCTTACACTGTGGAGGACCTGGATCGTGTGTTCAAGATTTTTTCTGACACTCAGTGGAAAACTCCAGAAGACAGTATAAGATCTTTAACAACAGGCTCAGCTAAACATTTCTTCAAATTACGGTTTTCACACTGTAGGAGTTTGTTTAACAACATGAAGATAGTGAAGTACCTGAAGGAGAGTTCTTTTGATGCTGTGTTTCTGGATCCTTTTGATGTGTGTGGCTTAACTGTTGCCAAATATTTGTCACTTCCATCAGTGATCTTTGCAAGAGACATATTTTGTGACTATCTTGAAGAGGGTGCCCAGTGCCCTAGTCCCCTGTCTTATGTTCCTAGACTATTGTCACAATTCACAGATACCATGACTTTCAAAGAGAGAGTATGGAACCATCTATTGTATATTGAAGAACATGCATTTTGTCCCTATTTTTTCAAAAGTGCTACAGAAATTGCTTCTGAAGTTCTCCAGACCCCAGTGACTATGTATGACCTCTTCAGCACAGTGTCCATTTGGTTGTTACGCACTGATTTTGTGTTGGATTTCCCCAAACCTGTGATGCCCAACATGGTCTTCATTGGTGGGATCAACTGCCAGCAGGGAAAGCCATTTTCCAAGGTATGTTATATCTTCTTTAGCACATGAATAGGGCCCTGGCTTTGGAAAATAAAAAAATGAAATTCTTCAGTGAGTTGTGATTTATTATTTACATGGAACCTATTTTGGGTTAGAGAAATGTTTTGTGTTAATTCAGTACTTAGGAAAAATTCAATAAAAGTGCCTTATTGATATGGATATGTACACTTGAGGCATAATTGTATATAACTTTAAAGATAAAATTTAATTTTAAATATGTAGGTATGCCTTTATATTTGTGTGTGTGTGCGTGTAGGTCATGAAACTAGAAAGGGGAGGGGTCAAAGAAAAATTCTGAGGAGGAACAAACCCAGCAATGATAGACATGTTACATGAAAGCAGAAAGGGATAATATTCAGGGTAGGAAGAGAACATACGGAGGGGAAGGTAGTAGGGAAGTAGAATAAAAAAAGAGAAAAGCATGATATGTCTGAAAAAAGTGCCAAAATGCCACTGATTAACTTGTATACTAACTTAGTAAAGGTATTTAAAAAGAGAGAAAACCTTCGTGGCAAAGTTCAATGTCTTTTGGACACATTGGAAAAACACATCAAACCATAAAGCAGCCCTCATTATTTGCAGGTTGTACTCTGTAGGAGTACACATGCAGTGTTTCCAAATGGCAAAAGTTAGTGAGATGATATGTAGGATGGAATGTATACGATGTTATTATTTTTAAGAAAATAATATAAAAAGATTTGGCTCTTTGATCACCTCCCCCTGATGGGGGAGCAGCCTGACCAGGCCACAGAGGAAGACTATAAAAGACAGTCCTGATGAGACCTATTGGGCTAGGGTCAGATGGAAGGGGAGGAGGTCCTCCTCTATCAGGGGACTGGGGAAGGGGCATAGGAGGAGATGAGGAAGGGAGGGAGGGTGGGATTGGGAGAAAAAGAGGGTGGGGCTACAGCTGGGATGCAAAGTGAATAAATTGTTATATATAAAAAATTATATAAAAAAGACAAAAAAACCCCCATCATATCAAGACATTGGACAAGACAAGCCAGCAGAAAAATAAAAGTGTCCCAAGAGAAAGACAAGAATCAGAGAGCCACTTGTGTACACATCCAGGAGTTCCGTGAAAAGTACTAAACTGAAAACTATAGTATTCATACAGGGAACCTGGTGCGGATATGATGGATCTGTGCATACTGCTTTAGTTTCTGTGCTGAGCTTTGCTGAGTTATTTTAGAGGGCCTATTCTCCTGTTGTCCTCTGTCCCTTCTGTCTCCCCCAGTCTTTCTGCCTCCTCTTCGTTTAGGTATCCTGAGGTCTGAGGGGAGGGAACTGATGGAGATATATCCTTTAGAATTGTCTGTCCCAAGGTCAGTCTCTCTCTCTCTCTCTCTCTCTCTCTCTCTCTCTCTCTGTATAATGCCTGGCTGTGGGTCTCTGTCTTTGTTCCTGTCTGCTGCAAGAGGAAGCAGGTATTATGATGGCTGAATAAGGCACCAATCTCTGTGTGTAGCAGAATACCATTAGGAGTTATTTTTTGTTTTTGTTTTTTAAAGGCCAGAAGTATTTGGTTTTATCTTAGCTCTCAGAGCTACCTATCCTCTGGTTCTTGGTTACCTAAGCAGTGTCAGGCTTGAGTTCCATCTCATAGAGTGAGCCTTAAGTTAACTCAGACATCAGTTGCTTACTTTCACAAGGTTGATGCCACTGTTGCGATAGCAACTTAACAGTCAGGACAGATTACAGGTCAAAGGTTTTGTGATTGGGCTGGTGTTTACACTTCTCTTTTCAGAGTCTGCAGTATACCTACTGACAATGCCACAGGCCTGTCCATGTTCAGAGGGTACTCTTTGTAAATTTTGAACTCTTTATATACTTTATAACCCCTCAAGGCAGGAAAGCAGCCAGATTCCTTTGTAAGGAAGCTCCAGCAGCCCAGATCCTCCCCCAGACCTCTATAACTGTCACCAGCAGCTGCTCAGTAGGACTCATACCATGTTATGCTAATTTGAGGTGAAAAGTCTACACAAAACCCCATGAGTTCAGGAACAGGAGTATTAATCAATCTCTGAGCTTTCCACAAAAACTCAGCTATCCTTGAGCAGGAGAACTGGCCAATCCCTGAACAAGAAATCCCACCAATCCCTGAGAATCCCAACATAGGAACTGAAATCCCACCAATCCACACTCTGGAAATCCCTGTCCTAGGAAGCTCTGCCCCCTAAGAAATCCTGCATAAAGGTTGTGTCTGCCCAGTTCCTGGCTGCCTTCTCCTGGGAGCAGAGGCAGCAACTGTTGGATTTGTCCCTCTGATAAATCTCTTTTAAGAGATATACTCCCTGATTTGACTTTCTAATCTGAAGAAGTAATGAAGAAGAAGAGAAGAAAGAACAAATGAAGAAGGAGCAGAGCTCAGGCTCCTACGCTTCTCAGCTCCTGAGGGGCCATTGTAATCCTTCCTTGAGAGATGCAACATCTCTGCTGAGGAGGCCTCTTCCCAGAGTGTGATCCCTTCCCAGGCCTCTGAGTTGTGAGTTTCCTGGAAACCTTCCCACCTGATCAGGAAGGCAGGTCAGCAATAACAACAGGGCTACTGATTTCCTTGAGTCAATTTTGTATCCGGCCACTTTGCTGAAGGTGCTTATTAGCTCTTGGAGTTCTCTGGTAGAATTTTGGAGGTCACTTATGTATACTATTGCTTCATCTGCAAATAGATTACTTTGACTTCTACCTCTCCAGTTTGCATCCCCTTGATCTCTTGTTTTACAGTTCTATCTAGAACTTCAGTGCTATATTGACTAGATACTGAGAGAATCGGCAGCTTGGTCTTGTTCCTGATTTTAGTGAAATTGCTTTAAGTTTCTCTCCATTTAATTTGATGTTGGCTATTGGCTAGCTGTATATTGCCTGTAATAAGATTAGGTATGTGCCTTGTATCCCTGATCTGTCCAAGACTTTTAACATGAAGGTTGTCAGATTTTTGTCAAAAATTTTTCAGCATCTAATGAGATGATTATGTTAGTTTGTTTTCTTTCAGTTTGTTTATATGTTGGGTTATGTTGATGGATTTTTGTATTGTGAACCATCCCTGCAACCCTGAGATGAAGTCCACTTGATCATGGTGGGTGATGTTTTGGATGTGTTCTTGGAGTTGCAAGTATTTATTGGGTATTTTTGCATGAATATTCATGATGAACCTTGGTCTGAAATTTTCTTTATCTGTTGAGTGTTTGGTTTAGGGAACAGGGTGATTGTGGCCTCATAGAATGGATTTGGCAATGTTCCTTTTGTTTCTATTTTGTGGAATAATTTGAGGAGTATTAGTACTATCTCATCTTTGAAAGTCTGGTAGAATTCCGCACTAAAATCATCTGTCCCAAGGCTGTTTTTGGTTGTGAGACTTTTAATGACTGCTTCTCTTTTCCTTAGGGATTATAGATCTCTTTAAATTGTTTACTTGATCTTGATTTACCATTGGTAAGTGGTACTTATCAAGACAATTGTCCATTGTGTTAGATTTCTAATTTTGTGGAGTACAGGTTTTTAAAGGAAGACCTAATGATTCCTTGGATTGCCTCAGTGTCTGTTGTTATGTTCCTCTTTTCATTTCTGATTTTGTTAATTTGGATACTATCTCTCTGACTTTTGGTTAGTTTGGCTAAGGGTTTGTCCATCTTACTGATTTTCTCAAAGAACCAGTTCTTGGTTTTGCTGATTCTTTGTATCGTTCTCTTTGTTTCTAATGTATCGATTTCAGCCCTGGGTTTGATTATTTCCAGCTATCAAGTCCCCTTTTGTGTGTTTGCTTCTTTTTGTTCTAGAGCTTTCAAGTGTGCTTTTAAATTGCTAGTATGAGATAGCTCCAATTTCTTTATGAGGGCACTTAGTCTCAGTGCTATCAACTTTCCTCTTAGCACTGCTTTCCTTGTGTCCCATAAATTTGGATATATTGTGCCTTCACTTTCATTGCATTCTAAAAAAGTCTTTAATTTCTTTTTGTTTTTTTTTTTTTTCTTGACCCAGTAGTCACCGAGTAGAGAGTTGTTCAGTTTCCATGAGTTTGTAGGCTTTCTGATGTTTCTGTTATTGTTGAAGTCTTATGTTAATCCATAGTGGTCTGATAAGATACAAGAGGTTATTTCAATTTTCTTGTATTAGTTGAAGCTTGCTTTTTAACTGACTAGATGATCAGATGTGGAGAAGGTTTTGTGAAGTGCTGAGAAGAAGGTATATTCTCTTGTGTTTGGGTGAAATGTTCTATATCTATCTATCTGGTCCATTTGACCTACCACCTAAGTTAGTTAGTTTCATTATTTCTCTGTTTAGTTTCTGTTTAGATGACTTATTCATTGGCAAGAGTGGGGTGTTGAAGTCTCCCATTAAACATGTGTGGGGATTTCAGCTTTAGTAATATTTGTTTTATGAATGTGTGTACCCTTGTATTTGGGGTATAGATGTTCATAATTGAGATGTCGTCTCAGTGGGTTTTTTTTTTTTTATGAGCATAAAGTGTCCTTCCCCATGTCTTTTGGATTAATTTTGGTTGAAAGTCTATTTTATTAGATATTAGAATGGCTACTCCAGCTTGCTTCTTGGTTATGTTTGCTTGGAAAATCTTCCTCCAGCATTTTTTCCCTGAGGTAATTGTTGGTCCTCCTCTCAAGTGTCCATTCTGTGGGTGAGAACAGGGGTCCAGGCCAGTGGGGTAAGTGGTGTAGAGTAATCACACAGACACTGGGAGTCAAGTGAATGCAAACAGTGGTTGAGAGGCTGCAGACTCGTTTATTCTGGAGCAAGATATATAGTTTTGGGCAACCAATCAGGTTCCTTCACCCTGTCTCTGAGCCTGCCATTGGTTGATCATTTCTGAGAAGACTCTTCCAACTTCAGATCACATCATTTCTGCCTGAGTACTTCTGTAGTCACATTAGCAGAATCTACCCCAGGCTGCTTTGCTGAGAGTGCCCACATATAACTCCTTTTTGTTTTATTTATCGTGACCTTGAGAGACAGGATCCTTGGCCCAGCCATTGTTGGCCCCAAACTGCAGGGGC